CAAACTTCAGCCAGGAGAACAACTGAGATAATCAATCCACAATACGAGGTTAGTCATTCATATACTGCTGCATGGGCTGGGCTGTAGTTACATCCTAAGGTTTTAAAAACTGAGCTTAAATAAATGATTAGCGGTAATAAAAGCCGAGCGAGGTCAACAGTGATCACTGACTGTTTTAGGAGCTTTTTGAGATTAAATAGAAAGATAGAAAATACAAAACATTAAACATGTTAACAACACAAAAGCCATATTAGACGCAAACTACTTTAGGCCCGGAAGTAGGATTCGTCACGTCATCACTTAACGACCGGATACTCTCCCCCTCAACATCTTGGCCTGTTCAGTAATACTGAATCAAAGAGCAAACAGAAAAATATATTTAAAAGGAAAAAAAGAAAACAAATGGTATCTCTAGTTAAGAGAGCATCTTTACAGCTTACTGACACAGCTGTGTTAATTCTTTTGCATCACAGATATGAGAAGATGTGCAGTGGAATGTATCTTGGTGAGATTGTACGGCAGATTTTGATTGATCTGACCAAACGTGGCTTCCTGTTCCGGGGACAAATCTCAGAGACACTTAAGACCAGGGGCATCTTTGAGACAAAGTTTCTGTCACAGATAGAAAGGTGAGTGAATCGTTTCACACTAACATTATTTTTTTGTAATTATGGGTTAGGGCTGTTTTAATGCTATCAAACAATCATTATATACAAACTGTTTATCCAGGAGCAGACATTACAGAATTGTGGCGTCTACAAAATAGTCTGTCCTATTTAAAGGTAAAATTCACCCCAACTATGTTTTTGAGCATTCAATTCAAACACAACATTCAATTTCTTCAATTACTCATAAGTTGCACTAATAGAAGATAAAGAGCACATAAGTTGTTGTTACAGTCTTCAACCACTGCCGGTTTGGACTGATTTTCAACATTAGAGAGATCAGTTGCTTAAATAAAAAAAGATCAGTTTCTTCTCTCGTAGAACTGTTACTGGATGCAGCCACCTGTTATGCTCTAGGTGATCTATGCTATGACATGGATATTCTGACAAATGTGTAAAGTTTACAAAGTTGCGCACAGATGTCAAGCCAGGAGACAGAAAAGTGAATTCGGTACATTTACATTTACCACTCTTATCAAACATCACAAGTTAATTCAAATAAAAGTTTAGCACCAGAAGTATTTTGTATTTAATGACTACAAAAGTATAAAATTGAATTATATAACTTATATAATTTTACACAGAACACTGTTTGTTTTATACACCTCCTAGCAGGCATAGGCTTCCACTGACTTTTACAGAATATTATATATCATCTATCTTATGAATTTAGAACATCAGAATATCAGAAAAAGCTAATAGCACATAAGAAGAAGTCAATAATCCACCTCAGACAAAAAATGCACTTAGTTTGTACTTAGTTTTTTAGCTACAATATTATTGTGTGGGACAGTTTTTAATATTCTGCCCCTACAGAATACCTGCATAACCATACAGAGGTTAAAAAAGTAATTTGTCTGATGCAGACTAATTTTCATACTGTAGCAAAATAAATGAAAACTGAAGTTAAGAAGAAAATGGTGAATACCAGAAAGCTAGAAAGAGTTAGTAGTACTGTAAAGTATCTGTGTTTATATAAAGCCTGTGGCTTAAACATGCAAAATGCTGGGAAATTAATAGTATACCAGCATGAAAACATGGGATTAAGCTGAAGTATTCACCAAAAAGCAGTATTTAATGAGTCACCACACCTAGGAATCATAAAGGAAGGGGGATGTGAGCACTTGAGCTTATGTGCTGTTTAAGCCTACCTTAGTCTCTGGGAACAGCTGTGAGGTATCCAATGACTCTCCTGCTGTTGGCTGACCTCTGACTCTCCCCCCTCCCACCACAGCGATCGTCTGGCCTTGCTGCAGGTCAGAGCGATCCTGCAGCAGCTGGGGCTCGACAGCACCTGTGATGACAGTATTATCGTCAAGGAGGTGTGCGGCACAGTGTCCCGCCGAGCAGCTCAACTGTGCGGAGCTGGAATGGCTGCAGTGGTGGACAAGATCCGTGAGAACAGAGGACTGGACCACCTGGATGTTACAGTGGGCGTGGATGGCACACTCTACAAGCTGCACCCACAGTAAGAGCTGGGATAGGAACACAATAGAGGGCATGTTTGTGTGAAAGGAGACCCGTTCATTTTAAAATGTTACTGTATTTCATCAGTCTGCAAAGAATTACCCAAGATTACCAAACTCACTGGCCTTACAGTAGCACTGAATTATTTATTCAGTCACTAGGATGGAAAAACATTCAAAAAGTGCTGAAGGACCTATATTCAACAAATATACTGGTAAATGGACTGATTCTTATATAGCGCTTTTCTACTCTCACGGAGCACTCAAAGCGCTCTATACAACATGCCACATTCACCCAATCACACACATTCTCACAAGCACTTTATCTATACTTAGTGCTATCTAACTACATTCACACACATTCATACTCCGATGGACGCATCGGAGAGCAACTTGGGGTTAGTATCTTGCCCAAGGATACTTGACATGCAGACTGGAGGAGCCAAGGATCGAACCACCAACCTTCCGATCAGTAGGTGACCTGCTCTACCTCCTGAGCTACAGCCACCCAGACCTTACTGGTCTTTTTTGACATTAAATAATGCATGTTAGACATTGAAAAGATAAAGCAAATTGTAAGTTTGCAGATGTCCAGAATAAAAACAGCAGAAACTGTAATAAACATATTACAACCCATAAATAGCCAAGTATTAGTATGTTATAAATCAACTAAATGTACAATCTGTCTACATTTCTTAGCCTTAAAACACTTTGATCTGCTACCACTTGTGATTCTTTGTGAGGACGAATTACAACTGTACCAGTTTTTTATATAAAAGATTATTTTCTGAAAAAGTACCTCAAGGCTAACATCTTCATTTGGTTGTTTGTGGAGGGGACTACTGGGGGACTCTTGTAACTGGGGTTACAAATTAGGAGATAACTGCACCTCTTACCTCCAAGTCCACACCATCTCGATAGGCCCGAATGAACCTCCTCACTCAACTCTGTGCTGCTTCTAGTTGTAAAGTTTGAATAATATGTATGCTGGAAAGCAACCGTCATTTCAAGTTCAGTAGCAAGCTGCCTCATAACCACAGTTTCCTCTTGCTCTCTTTTCTTCAGTTTTTCTCGGATCTTCCAACAAACTGTGAAGGAACTCGCCCCCAAATGTGATGTCAACTTCCTGCTGTCTGAGGACGGCAGCGGTAAGGGAGCTGCCCTCATCACTGCTGTGGGCTGCCGCCAGAGGGAGCTGGATGCCCAGCAACACTGAGCAGCTCTGTCCCAATTGTCCACAAGAACTACCTGCTGCTCCACCATGACCTTCACGCACCGCACAGCCTACATCCATTTCCCCTTGGCAGCCGTGACTCCACCTGTGCCCGACTTGGTCCACCTACAGCCAGAGAGATATATACTGCATGCAGAGAGTTAAAACTCAGTATCTAAATATTTATTTATACTGCACCAGATGGTTTATTATTTCCGTGTTTGTACATTTTCCTCAATAGCTTGTCAAGAACCTGACAAATCTAAACTCCTTAGGTGTGCAATATTTCTGTACTACTAGTTTTATTTTTATATGAAGCCAGATATATAATTGTATTTATATAGCTCGGGCCAATTTGAATCCCAGAGGTCATCAAGATTTTTGCACCATAGACACAAGTAAATGTTTTTATATGAAAGTTACAGCAGCAACACGTCAATGTAACTTCCCATATGAAGGACCTTCTTGAAGCTGAATGAAGCCGATTGTTTTTACAGGCTCCTTTGGTTGAGAAAAACCAGTTCCAAAAGGGCTCGTCGCAAAGGTTTGAATGCAAGAGTCACGGCTGTTAAAATCTCCCTCATTTTGTGTGCTACACGCTCACACAACGTGTTTGACTACTAACCCCTTTCTGTGTAACTGTCAGTGTGGTTCACATATTCAAATATTCCTGCATCACCATACCATTTATTCCTCAAGAGCGGACATGGTAGAAAAAGCCCCAGAGATGTGTTAGCCCATCCTATTGCTATTCGTAAACTATTAAACTTTTGGTGTTGTGATTTATACCACTTCTACTCATTATATGTGCAAACAATAAATGTTTATTGGGCCCCAAGAAGAGTGGACATAATGAGCGCTTTTGTGTGTATTTGTAGCTGAGTGTCAGTGTGTCTTACTGTATGACCTGTAGCTTCAATGTCCAAAGCTCTATGGAGACTGCATGCCTTACATCAACACAAAGGAGGTTACCGGATCATTTTCTTTCTTTTGCTCTATTTTTTTTTAATCATCATTATAAATTTGTGATCGACGCAGTAAAAAGCAAATTCATTAAATTATATTTTGTTGTGGAGTAAAACCTGTGTCTCATTCTTTAGCTGTCAAGCGGGGCAGAACTTGAAATGCAGATGGTGAAGTTGGTAACAAGCTGACACATAAAAAGTGCATTAAGTTCACCATTCATCTGATACAAAGGAAGGGCTGTGCCTGTGCCATAGCTTGGTAATTATCAACTATATTGACTAGATGTGCTTAGAGCAGCTGGTCCTAGCACACTTCAAATCCTGTCTCCCCCCCA